GCTGGTGGGAGCTGAGTCCGTGATGATGTAAAGTTATCCCTGTCTGAAGGCAAAGAAAGGCCTTTCTGTGTGGAATGTGGATGTCTGAAACTCAGTTTCCCAGATTGGCTCTCTGGAAAATTCAGGTCTGATTTGAAAGTGAGCTGCTTGAGAGTACCCGTGTGTATCTTCAGCAGGTTTTTCTCTTGCAATTTCTCCTCGCCAGGTACAGTCCCAGCCTCGGTTTCTGAGGCTGAAAAAGGACCCTCCAGAAGTAGCTGCCAGCGGCGACGTGTCTGAAGAGGCTTTCTGGTGTGTGTAAGGAGAGACCTTCTGAACAGACGCAGCTGGCATGTTTGGTTTTGCCGCTCCTGCTCTGGGCTTAGGATTGTGCTGAGTGGCAGGGAGATTGTAACACAGGTCTGTTTTCTTTGCTAGATGTCCGCAGTGTGTGAGTACGGAACTGCTTCTCCTCAAGTAAGTGAAATGATTCTTCCCCTCTTGCTTTGTAGTGTTTCTGTCTTTGTTTTTCTAAGAAGCCCCGCAAGCCTATGATGGTTAGTTATCCCTGTCTGAAAACCTCGGTTGAGGGGAAACCCATCTATTCTGAGGCTTTGGGGTTTGTCTCTGTGCTCTTAAAAGTTCAGGCTTGGGGTGCCTGGATGGCTTGGTCGGTTAAGCCTCCGACTCTTGACTTGGGTTCAGGTCATGATCTCCTGGTTCATGAGCTCAATCCCTGTGTCGAGCTCTGCACTGACGGTGTGGCGTGTGCTCGAGATTCTCCGTCTCTCTGCCCCTCCCCGTTTGCACTCTCTCTTTCTTAAAAATAAGTAAAAAACTTAAAAAAAGTTCAGGCTGTATCAGGGATCAAACTGAATGGACTCCAGAGGGAACTGTGTCTACCCGGCCAAGACCCCATGCATTGTCCCTCTGCAACTTGAAAACCGACAGTGCGGCTGCCTTGTCACGCTCTAGGCCCCTTGATTAATGGTTCTGATGGTACAGGCTAGAGGAGGTGCCAGAAATGGGCAAGTAGCCCAGTTTGGGGTCATGTTCTTAACCGGGGTATGAAAGAGTGCTTGTCACACATTTTAAGGCAATGAAAGCACTCTTTGAAACAGACGGGAATGTAGAAAGTCTGCCAGCTGTGGCGGTGTGAATGTGCGAGGACCGTGACCCCCTCGGCACCGCATCCTGACGGCACCGCATCCTGACGTTCAGGAGAGAAGGGCCGTCCTGACACCGGCAGGGCTATCAGGTTTCCGGGTGCTTTGTTTCCAGCAGCCGGGACCTCTCCGCAGGGTTCACTCCGATCGTGTGGTCATGTCTGCGCGACGTGACTGGCGAGAGCCGCCTCGGGTGGCAGAGGGCCGGGTTGGCTGGCACGTGAGCAAGCAAGTAGCACAGTGGTGCTGGGCCGGGACGGTGTCTGGCTCTGTTCCCGTTGAAATGCCAGGCTTGAAGTGGGCACGTGGCCTTTTTCTGTTCAAATTGGGAGGTATGTGTGGGCTCGTTAAGGTCACATATTTGTTCAGTCACCAAGGCGGCTAGATTTGGGGTGGGATTTAATAAGCCTGAAAACTGGCCCCAGCAGCTTACAGCCTGGAAGTAAAACCCAGTAAAACGATGTGTTAGCGAGTGGGGAAACCCGCTTCTTGCATTATGGTTGCCGCTGAGTGGATGTGACTGCTCCACGGGACTTGCATAGGCATTTAGGTCTGACTTGCAAAGTTTTACCTCCAGAAGAGGGTCAGATGTGAATGTCCAGACTGGCCATTGCCAGACACTGTTCCCTTTGAGCATCAGCTCCCCCAGGGCACGCTGCAGTGTCGGGTCCCCTGGGAACCGCACCGGCCTGCACCGATGGTGCCTTCAACAGTGTGGGCCTAATGCTTGGCTAGAACAACTGCTGCTACCATTGCCTTTTCTTCTCTAAATTAGGGTCTTTAAATGTAGCCCTCAGTCTTGAGTCACCTGGTTGGCCGTTGTATCGAATGATTCTCCTTTGGTCTTGCAGGTTCTCTCCCCAGTGATGCCAATTCTGCGCCAGTTACTAATGCCTGTGAAGCAATTCCCCCCTGCCCCCCGCCAAAGGAGAGCGACTTCAGAATTGTTTGGACTTCGTCTCCAAAAAGCAGCCAAAGGCTATGAGTGACTTTATCCCGGAAAATATTTGGCAGTTGGTCAAATCAGGGCATAGCTAAGAATATCCAGGATGCAACCTTTTAGCTGATGTGGGTATAATTCGCTCATTGGCGAGAATGTGGCGGTGGTGGACGGAAGGCGGTTACCGTGTACACGTTCTGTTCGAGGAAACTGAGGGGATGCCGGTGTTCAGCCTCGGAAGAACGTTTCATCAGGGTGGATTTCCTGTGAAGTTCTGTCTTGGGCTTAAATTTTGAAGTACAAATAAAAGTGTTTAAAAATGGACTTTGTGACATTGTGGATTCCACACTGAGACCCACATTATGGGATTTTACTCAGTGCTCAGCTAACTGTGTTCTTGTAGAAGTGAAAGTTTCAGAGACTACCATTAATTAGGGTCAACAGTTAACACAGGATGCAGTTGGATGTTTTGTTTGCTAAGTGTCCCCCCAAGTCGATTTTCTGCCCCTCTTAATGGGTGGCCACCCACAACCTTAGCACTTCTCGCATCTGACAGATTGACAGAATGTTCTGATAGCTGCAGATGTGAAGGGGCTAGGGACAAAGTGTTAACGGACACAAGGGGGTCAGGAGTCCTAGCTTGGGCTGTGCTGGCTTATCAAGGTAGTCGTGTTTCTTTACTAGTAAAGGTCATTGTGTCACACCCCAGGAAGGACTGTACCGTGGATCCCACATTTGATGGTATTCTTTCTGGACCATGTATTCTATCCAGAGAAATATACTCCGTTCTGTGCTATCCTGGAGACCAAGGGACAGTTTGTTGCCAAGCTAAAGTGGTGAGAGGCCTTGGCCTCCCGCTGTTCTGAACTGTTCACCCCTCCCTTCCAATCTAAACTGTTCTCTAGCATCAGCTATGGTTTCAAGTAGCTGCCTCACTCATGAAAGCCGTCTCTGTTCTTTTTCCCCTGTCTGAATTTCTAAAGTAGAATTTTGATTTCCAGTGTTGGTTCATCCCTCTCGTTAAATGTGCTGATAGGATCTACCTTCCAAAACCACAGAGCCAGAGGCCCGCTCCTGGCTGTTGGTGGATCGGCCAGTGGTGATCAGTGCCATGTCGGGAAGGCTCTTGCCAGCCGGCCCTGGGGAGACTGCCCCCCACCGCCCCCAGCGTTGCCCGATACAGCAGATGAGACTGTCAGGTTTTAGGCATCAGGCCAGTAAACCCAAGGCTTAAGGGCTATACGGTGATCACCAGCTGAGTTGAGACCTTACCTTCCGTAGAAACCCATGTAATTGGTAAAGCCAAGATGTGAAGCTGAGGGCTCGTTACCTGATGTGCTAGTGGCAAGGCAGTGATCGCTCTCCAGTGGGACTTCCCTTGGGCAGGCAAGCCTTCTGTGTGGTGGGCCCCTGTCAATACCAGGACATGCCCATGGTTCTTGGATTCTCTGATCTGCATGCCAAGCCCTCCACGGTGTCCTGCCCTGGTCCCCCCAACACACAAAAAAGACAAAAGTGGTCATCTATCATTTATGCAATTAACCAGTTTCAGAATACATTCTGCCTCTTGCGTTCTGATTCCATCGCGGGGCAGAAGGAAGTTGGTTGCGTCCTCAGGTGGTGTAGGTGTCTTGGAGTCCAACTGCTTTGGAGTCGGCTGGACACGCTGGTGGGAGGGTGCGGCTGGGGAGAGCGTGTGCGCGCCTGGCTGCTGCTGGTCGGCCAGCATCTTCAAGTCGCCCAGTGCCAGCTCCTGGCTGGCTTTGAAGATCCTTCGCTCCTGAGTATGCTTGCCCTTTGCTGGGGAGGGTCACAGTCCCCTCTTGTGTTACCTTTCGTTGTAAAATGCCCAGCAGAGCGGTCTTCCCTTCACCAGGGTTGGAATGTGGGTCTCAGACCCAGGAGGGAGGGAGTCTTCTTGGAGGAACCAAGAACAAGTGTCCCGCAGTGAACACGCTTCAGTGACAGTCCCGAATCCACTTCTCCATGCCCTCTAGAGACAAAGGGGTGGGCGGAGGGGAGCTGGAGCCCTTCTCAGACTGAAAAGATAAGGCAGCTCTGGCCACGTGGGGAGTCAGGGCCACAGGGCCACAGCTGCGGGAACAGAGGGCTTGGGTACTTGAGGGTCAGCGCTGGTATAGTCGGAGGATGCCGGCCTTGTGCAGGTCCTTCCACAAGGTGGCTTCCAGGGACAGGTCGTGGTTGACGTAGAAGATCAGTGGCTTCTTTATTCGCTCAAAATAGTGGTCAGAAAATTTCCAGTAGTTGCTTGTGATGAATCCATAGGCACTAACCTAGACAAGGATGGCCCCTGGGTTAGCGTTCACTGAGCTAGGTGCAGACAAACCTGTGAAGTGATAAGATTCCAGAAAAGCACAGCACCCCCCCCC